GGGGGAGGCGGTGGTGGGGGCGGTGGAGGCGGTGGGGGTGGTGGTGGGGCTGGAGGGACTAGTGGCAGCGGTGGGGGTGGTGGCGGCAGCGGCGGGGGAGGTGGCAGGGGCGGGGGCGGTGGTGGGGGCGGCGGTGGTCGTGGCGGCGGCAGGGGAGGGGGTGGTCGAGGAGGTGGCGGCGGCGGTGGTGGTCGTGGAGGCGCTGGCAGTGGCCAGAGCCAGCAGCGCACTCTGTCGCCCCAGGAGCTCCGTGAGTGGTACTCTCAGCACGGGGGGGGGGGTGGCCTTAGCTGCACGTACGTCATCCGCACTGGTGACCGCACTGGTCAGACGTGTGGGAGGGCGCACACCACGCAGCGCTGCTTCTCTCGCCTCGACGACGCTTGGCGTACTCAGTTCCCTGATGCCACTGAGCTGCCCCGCTGGGCTGATCTGATGAAAAGGAACATTGATATCTATGCTCTAGACTTTGATGCTATTCTCACTGCCATGTATGTGATGTCTACTAGTGGAGAGAGTGCTCAGTACCTGCGTGTTCCGCCCGACCCGGGCATTCGGACCAGTGATGCTACCGCTCTAGGTGCTGGTGAGGCTGCTGCTCTAGGTGCTAGTGAGTCTGCGCCCCCTGGTACTGAGTCGACTGAGGCAATACACACCTTCACACTGGACTCAGGTGCTTCTCGCTGTTTCTTTCGTGACCGCACTGCCCTTGAGCCGCTTGCTCGGCCAGTTGCTGTCTCCCTCGCTGACCCCTCTGGGGGTCCGGTCATTGCGACCTCCTCCACTGTCCTTCCTTGTCCTGCGGTCCCGTCGGGCACACTGTCAGGTCTCCACCTCCCCTCGTTCTCTACGAACTTGGTGGCTGGTTGTGCGCTCCAGGACGGGGGTGTTCACCAGTTCACCCCTGCCTACGAGCGCGTGACACATTGCACGTGTGCTCGGACGGGCCGTCACCTGGCTACCTTCACTCGGCAGCCGGGGTCGGACCTGTACACACTGACCACTGAGTCCCCTCAGGTAGCTGCGTCTGCGTCTGCGTCAGGTCAGCTGTCGGCCCCCTGCTCGTGTCGCTCTCTGGCGCACGAGACCGTCCTCTGGCACCACCGACTTGGTCACCCGTCTGTGCAGCGCCTTCGTGCCATGCATAAACGGTACCTTGTCTCTGGTCTTCCCAGGGTTCTCCCTCCCCTCCCTAGGTCCCTGATGTTTTGATCCCTTGGATCCGCGCTTCTCGTCTCCAGCTCAGCGAGCGTTTCCACTCGGACTTTCCTGTCCTGCGCTTGCACTCTGACAGAGGTGGTGAGTTCTCCTCCGACCTCTTGGCAGCCTACTATGCGGAGCACGGCATCCGCCAGTCGTTCACGCTTCCGGCCTCTCCACAGCAGAATTGGGTTGCTGAGCGCCGCATTGGCTTGGTCATGGAGGTCGCTCGTACCTCCTTGATCCATGCGGCTGCCCCCCACTTTCTGTGGCCGTTTGCGGTCCGATACGCTGCGCATCAGCTCAACCTCTGGCCCCGTGTCTCCTTGCCGGAGACTTCCCCGACACTGCGTTGGACGGGAGAGGTTGGCGATGCGTCGCGTTTTCGGGTCTGGGGATCTCGAGCTTTTGTTCGCGATACGTCCGCGGACAAGCTCTCCTCCCGCGCTGTTCCTTGTGTCTTCCTTGGCTTTGTCCCGGACGCGTCTGGTTGGCAGTTTTACCACGCCACCTCGCGCCGTGTCCTGCCCTCACAGGACGTCACTTTTGACGAGTCCGTGCCCTACTACCGCCTCTTCCCCTACCGCACTGCCCCGCTCCCCCCCCCGCCTCTCTTCCTCGCCCCAGGTGCTGCTATGGTAGACCCCCTCCCCCCTCAGGGTGCCGCTCCCTCAGGTGTGTCCCAGGTAGACCCGGTTGAGCCTGTCGAGGTAGCTGTCGACTCTCGTCCTGCTAGGGGTGCTGAGCCTGAGCGTGCGGAGCCTGGGGGTGCGGAGCCTGGGGGTGCGGAGCCTGGGGTTGCGGAGTCTGGGGGTGCTGCGTCTGGGGGTGCTGAGTCTGGGGGTGCTGAGTCTGGAGGTGCTGAGCCTGGGAGTACTACACCTGGAGGAGCTCTCTCCTCACAGCAGCTGCGTGAGTGGTACTTACAGTACTGCAGCCTCAGGAGAGGTGCCTCTGGAGCTAGGAGTGCAGCTGGAGCTGGTGCTAGTGCTTCCCCTCCTAGGCGGGAGCTGCCCTCTCCCCAGCGGCTGGTGACGCACGACGAGACTCTGGCGACGCAGGACGAGACTCAGGCTCACGACGCTCTGTAAGACCTCCAGTCGGACCAGTGTAAGGAGAAGGACCAGGGAGTGGCGAGGCAGGCGGTAACTGTGACTGCGACTGGACAGGCGGAGGACACTCTAAGGAGGGAGCAGGACTAGGGGGAGGCGGCTGACCAAGAACCTGCTGAAGGAGCGGAACGAAGTACGGCCGCGGCCGCGCAGCGCCTCCAGAACCAGCAGAGGCACCACCAGTACCCTCAGCTCCAGGGTCTCCAGCTACACCAGCAGCACCAGCTCCCGGGTCCGCAGCGCCAGCAGCAGCTCCAACTCCAGGGTCCTCAGCTCCAGCAGCAGCTCCAACTCCAGGGTCGGCAGCACCAGCAGCAGCTCCAACTCCAAGGTCCGCAGCACCAGCAGCAGCTCCAACACCCGGGTCCGCAGCACCAGCAGCAGCTCCAACACCCGGGTCCTCAGCACCAGCAGCAGCTCCAGTAGTAGGAGTACCTCTAGCAGCTCCAGCAGCACCAGCAGTACCACCAGTACCAGCAGTACCTCCAGCAGCGTCAGTAGCACCAGCACCAGCAGCACCTCCAGGAGCACCAGCAGCACCGCCAGCAGCAGTAGCACCTCCAGCACCAGGGTCCGCGACACTAGGAGCGCCACTCCGGAGACTGCAGCGCGCTGCTCACACTGGTCGTCGTGTTCCGCGTCAGCGTCCTCCTGCTGTCCCAGGCACTCACCAGATGGCACTTCGTCCTTCCACTGCTCCTCAGCGTGTCCCTCTGCCGTCTCCTCCTGCGTCTTCTCTTCCTGCTCTTGCTGACCCGGAGTCTGACTCCCTTCGTGCTGCCAGTCCTACTGTCAGGCGTCTCCTCGCCACAGTTGTCACTGACCCTTCCTTTGAGTCCTCTGCTGCGTCTGCTCTAGTCGCTGAGTTAGTTGACTTTGCTGCCGCTTGTCGTCTAGACTACGCCGCTAGCCTTGTCGCTGAGTCTGAGTCTGTCTGTCCTTCGTCCGTCGGGGGTGAGTGTGCTCTTGGCACGGACGTCCTTGAGGACAGGCAGGAGGAGTTTGAGTGCTTTGCCGCTGCGTTACCTCATCTCGTGTCCATGCTGGTTGCCCCTGAGGGAGACCCGGATGCTCCAGACATCCCGACCCCGCGCTCTTACGCTGAGGCGATCGCGGGTGAGTACTCCTCTCAGTGGCAGACAGCCATGGACGCAGAGATGTCTTCTTGGAAGTCCACAGGCACCTACGTCGACGAGGTTCCCCCACCTGGGGCGAACATCGTCAGTGGCATGTGGATTTTCAGGGTGAAGCGGCCGTCGGGTTCTCTGCCTGCCTTCAAGGCGCGTTACGTTGCACGAGGCTTCAGTCAGCGAGAGGGAGTTGACTTCTTCCAGACCTTCTCCCCGACCCCGAAGATGACCACTCTTCGGGTTCTGCTGCACGTCGCCGCTCAGCGTGACTACGAGCTCCACTCTCTTGACTTCAGCACAGCTTTCTTGCAGGGCAGCCTGCACGAGGAGATCTGGCTGCGCCGCCCACCTGGCTTCACTGGGTCGTTCCCTCCTGGTACCCAGTGGAGCCTCCGACGGCCAGTCTACGGTCTCCGCCAGGCGCCGCGTGAGTGGCACGACACACTGAGGACTACACTTGCGGCTCTTGGGTTCGCTCCTTCTACTGCTGACCCGTCGCTGTTTCTACGCACCGACACTTCACTGCCGCCGTTCTACATCCTCGTGTACGTCGACGACTTGGTCTTTGCCACTGCTGACACTACGGCACTCGCCCACGTGAAGTCGGAGCTGCAGAAGAGACACACGTGCACAGACCTGGGTGAACTGACAAGCTATCTTGGCTTGCGGATCACCCGGGACAGAGCACGGCGCACCATCACCTTGACTCAGTCACACATGGTGCAGCAGGTCCTTCAGCGCTTCCGCTTCACGTACTCCTCGCCTCAGCCCACTCCTCTGCCTACCGGTCACTCGCTCTCAGCTCTGCCTTCGGATGAGTCCGTAGAGCCGAGTGGCCCGTATCCAGAGCTTGTGGGCTGCCTCATGTACCTGATGACCTGCACTCGACCTGACCTTGCATACCCTCTTAGCATCCTTGCACGCTATGTCGCTCCTGGTCGTCACCGGAAGGAGCACATGGATGCCGCTAAGAGGGTGTTGCGTTACTTGTGCAGTACGTCGGGCATGGGGCTAGTGCTTGGAGGACGAGACCGAGTTGTACTCACTGGACACTCAGACGCTTCTTGGGCTGACGACCAGGCTACTCAGCGGTCGTCTCAGGGTTACACCTTCAGCCTTGGCTCTGGTTCTGTTTCTTGGCGTTCTACACGCTCGTCTTCCGTTCTCAGCTCCAGTTGTGAGGCTGAGATCTGTGGGCGCCTGGGGAGTCCTCAAGGACCGACTGAGGGCTGCTTTTATCACTTACTGAGGACTTCACTTACTGTTTTTATCCCTTGTGTGCCGTACCCCCCTCTGCCTCCCTCTCTTCCCCATCCTGTCTCGCCCCGTGCCTCGTGCCAGTGTGGGGCTCTGTGGGCGCCTGGGGGGTGCTCAAGGACCGACTGAGGGCTGCTTCTGACACCACTTACCGTCTTTGTCCTCTGTTTGTCATACGCCCTCTGCCTCTCCCCCCACTCTCTGTCACCCTTGCCTCGTGCCAGTGTGGGGCTCTGTGGGCGCCTGGGGGGTGTTCAAGGACCGACTGAGGGCTGCCTATGGCACTCTGGGCTTTCTAAAAATGGTAAGTGCTGGTGCTTATGGCACTCTGGACTTTCTAAAAATGGTAAGTGCTGCTGCTTATGGCACTCTGGACTTTCTAAAAATGGTAAGTACTGCTGCTTATGGCACTCTGGACTTTCTAAAAATGGCAAGTGCTGCTTCTTATGGCACTCTGGACTTTCTAAAAATGGTAAGTGCTGCTGCTTATGGCACTCTGGACTTTCTAAAAATGGTAAGTGCTGCTGCTTACGGCACTCTGGACTTTCTAAAAATGGTAAGTGCTGCTGCTTATGGCACTCTGGACTTTCTAAAAATGGTAAGTGCCGCTTCTTATGGCACTCTTGGCTTCCAAAAAATTGTAAGGGTTGCACTTCTGGCACTCTGACCTGAACTTTCTTAAAATGGTCCGGGCCTCTGCTTATGGCACTCTGGACTTTCTAAAAATGGTAGGGGCGCTTCTTCTGTGAGTCCATTTCATGTGAGTCTGGACTATGTTACATGAAATGTTACAGAGCACTTACGTACCCAAAATTAGTGTTGTTTGTGGGGAGCACACCCTCACACCCTTAACCCACATATACATTCCCTTCATCTCTGCCATGCCACCCTGCCTTTCTATGTCGATCTGTGTGTGAATGAGTGCAGGTGCTGGTGGGGGCGCTGGTGGGGGCATGGAGCCCGACAGGCAACGCTGTGGCGCAGCAAGCATTCCGCGTGAGTTGAGTCGATTTTTGAGTCGACTCAAAAATCGACTCAACTCACGCATGGAGCCCGACAGGCAACGCTGTGGCGCAGCAAGCATGCCTGCTCACGCTCGCACTGTTGCACCTGCTCCCATGCACACACGCACACACACTCAAGGTCCCCTTTCCTCTTCCCTGTGTCTGCCTCCCACTGTGTGCAGGTGCTGGTGGGGGCGCTGGTGGGGGCATGGAGTCCGACAGGCAACGCTGTGGCGCAGCAAGCATGCCTGACACAACTCCGCTATTTTCACCTCCTCCCCCCCTTCCCCAATAGCCCTTCACGGATCGGGGTCTACAGATGGTGGAGGCAGTGAGCTCAGGAGCAGAGGTGGTGCTGTTCGCATGTGCACGTGAACCGTTTTAGAGTGGCGTTTAATCACCATTCTCCCTTCTTTCCTCTCTCCCCTCCGCTCCACACCCTCCCCAACAGCCCTTCACGGAGCGAGGCCTGCAGGTGGTGGAAGCAGTGAGCGCAGGCGCAGAGGTGGTGCTGTTTGCATGTGCACTGGCCATGGCCATCGATTGGGACATGTCCTCAAACTTCGCCACCATTCTCTTCCCTTTCCACCCTCCCCTCCGCTCCACACCCTCCCCAACAGCCCTTCACGGAGCGAGGCCTGCAGGTGGTGGAAGCAGTGAGCTCGGGAGCAGAGGTGGTGCTGTTTGCATGTGCACTGGCCATGGCCATCGATTGGGACATGTCCTCAAACTTCGCCACCATTCTCTTCCCTTTCCACCCTCCCCTCCGCTCCACACCCTCCCCAACAGCCCTTCACGGAGCGAGGCCTGCAGGTGGTGGAAGCAGTGAGCTCGGGAGCAGAGGTGGTGCTGTTTGCATGTGCACTGGCCATGGCCATCGATTGGGACATGTCTTCCAACTTCGCTGGCACTCTCGGGCTCGTCATGGCGCTGGCTGTCGGCCTGGCCTTCATCGGCCAACTATTCAACCAGTGAGTTGTCCCTTACCAGCTGCTGCTGCCTAGACTCTCTCCTCGCCTGCATGTGCACGGGCAATGCCATTAACTGGGACAGTGAGTCCTGCTCTATCAGATCAATCGCCTGCTTGGCAGATATTTGCACTCCCTCCTGATTTTTTGTCAGATCATCTCACTCATGCCATTCTCCTCCCTTTTCATTCACCTTTACTCTCATTCCATTTGCAGCTAGGTGGCTCTCGGGCAGCAGATCAACCGCATGCTGAACCCGCCTGACGACGAGAGAAGCCCGTCGCACCGATCCGACGGCGACGGTTTCTCGGATAACGATGACGATGACCTGGAAGACGACGATGATGACGAGGATTTTGATGTCGAGGACGACGGGAACGGTGACGAGGATGATGATGACGATGATTATGATGATGATGAGGAGGATGATGATGAGGGGGACACAAGCATGGATGAAGCAGAAAGAGTTAGGCAGCAGCAGCAACAGCAGCAGCAATAGCAGCGGCAGCGGAACTTATGGGATCACCTTTCCTCCCCGTTCCTCTTTCAAACTCCCGCTCCCCTATTCTTCCACCTGAGTAACGAACCCCATCCAATTTGTGACAGTCTGCCATTACAACCACTAACATGGCGGCCATATGCTGCCATATGCTGCCGTAGCACTCTCCAAGCACTGTTGTTGCCATATTCCCCTGAACTAACAAACTGCTGGCTCCTCGCTGAAAGCACCGCTGCTGCTGTGCCGCCCTCAGATTCATTTTTGGCCTGTCTGATTCATCAGACTAGTACAAAATTTTAGTCTGAAACTCTCAGAGCTGGTTAAAAAAAAAAAAAAAAAAAAAAAAAAAAAAAAAAAAAAAAAAAAAACTGAAATTTCAGAGTAAGTCTGAAACGTCAATGTATCTAAGGGCGTGTTCCTACGGCCTCCTATCAGAGCTACCTCATATCAGATAATGAAAAGGTATGTGAACAACGTTATACAACACCTCTTGTCAGCCCTGTACCGAAACTGCGCACGAATCACAACATTCGTTTGGCCTCGCATGGTCGTGCTGACTCACCTGTGCACGGTTGGAGTAGACCCGCACGCAGATGCCATTGCCTGTCTGCCGACAGCCTAACCTGCGCACGAAGGTGACGCGGCCTGGTCTGTGCACGTCTGGACGTGCCATAGTTGCACAATTTGTCAAACATTGGATGATTGGCGCAACGGGAAAGATCTTTCGCGCCTCTTTCACGCCACGTTTAGCCAGCACGTTCAGAGTTTCCCGTCTCACTCACAAACAAACCCGCACAAACGAACTCAAACATCAGGATCGTCACATGCGTACATAATCCACTCGACCACGCAGGTTGTGTTATGCAGGCACTAAAACTTCCTAGCATGGCTCGCAAACGCAAAAGCAATGTCGCCGCGACAGAGGAAGACTTGTGGCGACCGGAATACCTGGCCTACGTGAAGTGGATGAATGCGGAACTTGCAGCAGGGAGACCTACCACGAAGCCCCTTCGTAACGTGCATGCCACCGGCTCAACGCCAGCGCAATCGACCGTCAATCCGCATCGCACTCAAGGTCCACAGGTGACCGACTACGACACTGACGAGGATTTTCCGGAGAAGGACTCTGAGGACGAGGATCTGGAGCAAGGGTCGGACGGGGAAGATCCCGTTGCTGCATGGCATGGGGACGTTCAGTACAACGGTCCGGCCGAGCAGACCGCGAACGCCACCCACGCTGTTCGGGACGGGGCTGATCCGAGACCACGCGCCAGGGCGAAGCGTAACGGCAAGGCTAAAGCACAGCCAGAGTCGCCTAACGAGACGTCAGTGAGCGGCATTGCGCAGAAAGGCCAACGGCCGGAGTGGTCACCCAAGGAGTCGACCGTTCTCGTGGCCGCGCGGTGGTTTACGAAGGACGAGCTGCAACAGATGACGGGCAAGCAGGGGTCGTAGTATTGGCTCCGGCTAATCGAGCATATCAAACTGCAACACCCTGATTGGAGTCGGAACGCCTTAGCATGCACTAACCAGTGGAAGCGGTTGAAGGCGTTGTGGAAGCAAATCGACAAGGGCGACTCCGCTTCGGGTGGGGGGACGGTGATTAAGCCACCGTGGTGGGAGTGGATGGTGCTTTTTTATAAGGATACGGCAGCTGCAGAGCCTCACGCCCTTGACGGCGGCGGTGCGGTTGAGGTCAATGTTGACCCGGGTGTGAAAGTCGTCACGCCCTCGAAGACCGATGCTACGGGCACCACGGGTACGTATTGCTATCAATGTATAACTCTGCATGTTCCAACATAGATCGTGGTTGTTTTATTGATATCTAGCTCTGGCTAGCATTGACATACATTACTAACATTCTTTATGACATTCAATACCCTATCTATGTCCTTCGTGTCAGAAGTGCGTAGCACCCCACCCAGTGCTCGTCGTAGGGTCCACGAGACGGCAACCATGGCGGCCGCCCAGCTCTTATCCGACACTCTCAAGCAGTGCTCGGCTGATGGCGTGGCGCAGATAACTGGGGTGATTCGGGAGTGGATGGCGACGCAGCAGTCGCAGACCAGTCGCCCCCTCCACTTCTCGGGATCCCGCCACGGCGACGATGACAGCTGGCATTACAACCGTGAGGGCAGCGAGGGCAACACCAATGCCGACCTCAGTGACGGGGTTGAAGAGTGGCGTCGCGGCGACGACGCTTAAGGTAAGCGTCGTGAAGGGTCATGCCAAGCCTCTTACGCCGCTCTTTCAGGTCCGCCTGCGTACCTGTCTCACATGCACTCCAGTTGTACACAGCAAGCTCGCCCCTCGTCCACCATGGATCGCGGTTGAGTGCAATTGCTTCCCATTTGTGGTTCGGGTTTTTCATCCGTGAACCGGCCATCGAAATCCCCATGTTGTGCAGGATTACGACACAACTGGCCCCGGCGAGTACGCGCCATAGCGCACAGTCGTGTCGGCCGGCGAAAAGGCGGTAGCGGCCTTTAAACTGACCGATGGTGCGCTCGACGGACATTCGGGTGGCGGACTGGCAGTAGTTGTATGTCTGTTCCCACTCGAGCATCAGGCGGCCAGTGGGTGCATGTAAGGGGGTGAGACAATAGTCGCGGAGGGGATAAGCTGCATCTCCAACCAGCTGGTACGGGGAAATGTCGCCTCGTTCTAGTCTTTCGTAGAGGCTAGATTTGATGAACACTCTCTGATCGTGTGCTGTGCCGGGATACCCGATGAGGTAATCCCAAATGATCCCTCTAGCATCGCATGTGATCTGCAATTGAACCGCGTACTGTGATTTCCGGGTGTAATATTCAGTCCGATGCCCTTCCTTCCCTCTGATTTGAACATGCGTGCCATCTATTGCACCCACTACTGCTGGAACACCCTTTATGCTCCTAAACTCTTCTGCCATCGTCCGCATCTCTTCTTGTGATGGAAATCGGACCCAGTCCGATTTAAAGACGCGCGGGAAGTTTGTGAGGAAAATGTCTACGAGTAAGTGGCATAGCGTCTTCGGAACCCCAAACCAGAACGCGAGGTCAATGTACGACATGGCGCTCGCGAAGTATTTGATCGGCACAAGTATGGCGATGCTAATCGGTAAGGAGTGTTTTTGTATGACCGGGTTTAGAACTGAGCGCATTCCTTCACTGATGTAGTCTAGAATGGATCGATTGATTCTGAACAAGTCCATGAAAACCTCCTCTGGCATCGCCTCCATTTCATCCACCCATATCCCTAGGCGTCGCCGCCTCAGACCTCGATTCCGTGCCCGGATCGCACTACGGGATTCTCCGCTAGTTTCCTCATTTGCGGCCTGGTCTATCTGCTCGAGCAACTCAGTACAAACTTTCGTAGCAAGCGCGAGGAAGGTGTTGTAATAAAAAGCATGCCACACAATTAAGAGTCTAGGGAGAAAAGGCACATCATTCATGGTGGCTGGAGGTAATTAATAACCCATTTAGCTGGTTCTCGACAGTTTATCAGCAGTTGCAGCGGGAGGCGAGTCCGTTCCCGCTTGTTATGCTTTGGCTAGAGTAGATGGGACTGGTGCTGCAGGAATGCTTACGTGGTGGTGGTGATGGTTTAGTCTGGCACTAGACGGGCGTGTCGTTGCGCACATTTACAGGGTTGGGTCGCATGGTGCCACATCAGCGCTCATTTACAGTCGCGCAACAGCTCAAACCGGCAAGTACATCTGACAAGAGGTTTTGGCGAACTTGCAAATTTACAAGCGAGAATTGCTAGGCTGATATGAGGCAGCTCTGATAGGGGGCCATAGGAACACGCCCTAATGTGTCATCAGAAATGTATTCAAAGTTTCATCTGATATCGAAACATGCTAGACTAAGGGGATTTTCGGGAGAACATGCTCTGACAGGGCGAATTTCTGTGTCAGGGCGAATCTTGTGGTGTGAAAGGCGAATCTGCAATGTCAGGTAGAATTTCTTGGTGATTGGTCAAAATTGTTGTGCTCTGACGGCACAAATCTGTTGTGTCAGGGCGATTTTGCTTGTGATTGGGCAAAAATTTTGTGTTGTAAGGCGCGGATTCGGCCATTTTCAGGTGCATGCAACTTAGTCGAGGCGCGCTATTCAGGTGCATGCTATCCCGTCGTTTTTCTGCCTCTGTTGTTACTGTATGTACACCTCCGCCACGAAAATTACTGTTCTGTCAGGGGATGCTACAATCCGACTGACAGTAACTGGCGCAGCTCTCGCACGAATTCGTCGTCCAACCACACCAGTCGCAAGAAAATTACTGCGAACAAGGTCAATACATGTCGCAACACAACTGTCAAAAACGGGTAAAAAAATAGAAAACCCAGTTGGAAACGCATGCGACTCGGGAGGAATCAACCCTAAACACGAGGGCAGTTCCCGTGTTTAGGTTTGATCCCTTCCGAAAAATGAGTCCAGGTTCCCTAGATTTTTTGTCCCACTGCCTTAAGGGACATCAACCCTAAACACCCGGACGTTCCCGTGTTTAGGGTTGATCCATCCCGAACA